TTATATACGTTATATATATATATTATTATATATATATGTAAACGTAAAATATTATTGTCATATGTGTAATACACAATGTGTGCATAATCGTAATTGTATATTATGATCAAAAAATATTTGTCCATAGGTGGACAATTTGTATATAATTAAACAAAAAAAAAAAAGGAATAACTCAGTCCCTATAATAATAAGTATTAGAAATAATGTTACCTATTAAATAAATTTTCCTTTATCGAATGATCACACGTATATATATATAATTCGAGATTAAGTTAATATGGTATAATAGTGATTAACGTGTAGGGTAATGGTGCAGTCAGTTGAGGGGGTCAGGTTAAAGTGCACTAATGATCTGGCTTAGGTTCAACGAAGTTTTCGTAACACAACTGTTGCAGTTTATATGCCAATCAATAAGAAACAAATTAGAAATTTTAGGATGCCAAGGGATAATTTTGATATTAATGTTATAATTAATGGTGTTAATAATTTTTTGTTGCAATTGGATGGGCGCATTTCCGAGAAAAAAAGTATTCAATTTGATAAAGAAAAATAAATTTTTACGAGACACCAAAAATTTCTAATTAAAAATTTCCTAATATACATAATTTAATAGGAAAAATATTATATTGAAATTATAAATTTTTTATATTTAAAAAGAATACGTATTTAATTTGATATAGAAATCAATTTGTCTGAGGTAACAAATTTATATCAATTAATTTTATTTACTGATATAATATTATTACTTATAATTATTGACTGGGCCTATTATATAAATAATGGTATTCATCATACGCATGGTTTATATATATATATATGTGTGTGTGTGTGTGTGTGTGTGCATGTGTTTGTATGATTGGTGTTACGCGTGTAAAAAATGCGTGCTGGTTGTATGGTGTTGTGCGTGCTCGCGCGTGCAGCACGTGCATGCGTGCGTGTATTCTTACTCTCTTTCATCCAGGAATAAGTATAAACGTGAAAACGACGTAATTCAAGATGTAAAAGGATATAATATATATTTTCATTGAAAGGCAACAAAAGAAACCGCTTCTCTCGTTCTAAGTCACGTTACAATCAAGATCCAATGTAAGCGATATTAATAGAACAATAATTCTAATCTAATGACCATTTACAAATATTTATAGATGTAAATATATATATGCGTGTGTTGCGTGTGTTTAATTATGACGATTAATTATATCCCGAAATAACACACACTAAACTGATTTATTTTAAATAATGAATAGTTCAACTAGGTAATATATAAATTTGGAAAAGTAGTTAAAGTATAACAATTATGATTTGAACCCGTAAGATTAAATAAGTAGAAGTAATTATAATATACTGATACGTTTTAAATATAAAAGGTAATATTACATACTTCAATTAGATAATATATATATACATGATACCATGAAAGACCGAAATTGGATAATATCGAGATTTTTTTATTGGTTATTTCATGTATGTTTAGAAATATTGATATACGTGAATAAAATATTTGCTATTTCTATTAAATAAATGAAAGAAAAGTAATTCTAACAAAATATGAAATATGAAATGGAAAAATAAAAATGTGGGTTAAGCTTGCGATTAGAAGGAAATAATATTATAGTATTTCAGGTGTGTGCGAACTTTTTTCTCATAGGTAGTCGAGCAATCGATATATCGATAAGGTATATACATATGCCTATAGTTATATACCTTTCATAGATAAATATATACATACGTGTTCTTTAACCACGACTGACGTGGCCACAAGTTTTTCCATGCGTCACGCAATTCGATCTATCTCCGTCCTATCTTTTCGTTTATTTATCTACATATCTATATACCTGCATATATACAAGGTATATCAATCTAAAAATATATATATATAACACACACACAATAATTATTAATAATAATAATAGTTTCAACATTATAAATTATATTTGAAATAATTAAAAAAAAG